CATGCTTTTTAGGAAATTCAATTAACTATGTTCATAAACGGGCTTAACTGTTTAAGGGAATTCAATTTGTTTAGTTTAGCCATTAATTGAACATTAATCAAAGACCAGGAGAAGCAATAGTCTCTATTTTTAATTAAAGTTGTTTTCCATTTATAAATAGAATAATGAAATGGGTAATTGAATGTAGCTGGGTTTTTGGATTTGCCTGGCAGGTAACCAGAGAATAATGAGGGCAATCTGGTTGCAAGGGAAGAGTGATTGAAATAAGACCCTGCTTGAAGAGAGATACTGGTCCTATTTCTAACTTGTCTCCATGGGCAGGAAGGGAATAGGGAGGAATGTTGGGTTCATAGATGATGTCAGTGGTGATAGCTGAGTCGTGGCTTATTATCCAGCCAAAGGATATTAAAATGGTGCCTGGGTTATCACCGATGCCATACTTAGAATCAGATGGAATAAGCCGCAATTTCCTTTAAAAAAATTCTAAAGCTAGGCTTGTTTCATTTGAATTTGGGTTCATGATTTATACATGTGTCCAACTCACTCTGTGTTTAGCGGTGTGATTGGGATAAGAACAGTCTGAGGCACCCAGATCCTTTAAGACAACTCTGGTCCAGTTCTTCCTGAGCTTCTAAAGAGGTAGCTCCTGGCAGGTTAGAAGTTTTAAGCAAAAGACAGCATTCATTCATTCATTCATTCAGTGAATTTCTATTGAATGTCTATAGGATGAAGCAGGGCTTTAGATTCCCTAAAGAACATAAAGATAACACAAATTGGCATCCTGTCCTCAGGAACTTAGTCAGTGAGGGACATAAGCCCTCTCTAAAAATAATAGTACAATTGTTTTGTGGCATAAGAAAAAGGAAAATATGTTTACTGATGTCTTATGTGTCAGGCAATGTGCTCTATCACCTTGCACATGATGTCTCCTCAAATCCTCACAACAACCCTGTGAGGAAGATTTTACTAGAAATGGGCAAAAATCATCTTTAATTGAAGAAGAAACATTATTAGGGAACATGGGTGCAAAGTCACTCAGTTTGCACAGCATGGGAATACGAAGAAAAGTGGATCACTAAATGTAGAAAGGTAAGTTGGAGACCAGGATGTAAGGAATGTAAGGGCCTTTTGATGCCCAAAGAGAGTTTGGGCTTTGTTCCCTGGGAAAGGCACGTAGTGTTTTGAAAGGAGTCAAGAATGATCAGGACTGTGCTTTAGAGAGCGGCTGAGGGAAGGCTGTAAAGACCAGACAGGCATGTGATGTGACCTTGATGAGTCAGGTGAACCTCTCTTGGTATCTGCATCTAAATAAACCAAGTGCGGGATGTGTCCTCATGTCTGCACAGGCTTGGGGATGCGGGAACAAAAAGTCAGCCTGCTCCCTGTTACTTGGGAGGACAGAACTGAAAAAGGGTAGATTGTGGACAAGCAAGGCTTTAGATGTATAAAGAAAAAATGGCTTGAAGTCAGAGACCTTGGTTTCAATTCCAGTTCTGGGTATTCTGGAGCAATTTACTTATATAACCTTGCTGAGTCTTTGATTCCTTATGTTAAAAGGGGGATAATAACACTCACCTTAATGAGTGGTTATAAGGATTAAATGAGACACAAGGCTGAGGTGTTTGGAGGAGAAAAGCAGGATCTGCTTGCTAGGAGAAAGATCTTGAGTGGTGGGCTGCTCTCTGAGTTTGTATGCTCCTTGTAAATCCAAGCAGGGCTTACAAGGAGGCTACTTGTCAGGAATGCTATAGAAGGGCTCCTTGCATCCAATAGGGGGTTGCATCAGATGACCTTTGGGGGCTATTTCAAGTTCTATTTTTGTTACTCTCTGCCGGTTTTCTCCTGCTTTCAAAATGTTGTTCTCCCCACCCACACCCCATAGTGTTAGTATCTGGCACAACTCATAGGTACTAAAGGTAAGGCTAACCATAGGAATAACTAGGCAGAAAATAGATATCAAGACCTACAGAGCTAATTAGTGTTGAAACCACAAGAGTTGTAAATGGACTTTTCCATTAAGCCGGCTAGAATCCAGGATAGTGGGTAAACAAACTCTGGGTGTCTGCTCACCAGGCATCCTATTTCGATTCTGCTACATTGTTCCAATCCTTTGGGGCTTCTCAAAGCATATATATATATATTATATACATATATATAATATATATATACACACACACACTTTTTTTACAAAAATGAAGCCTTAGGCTGAAGCCTAAATGTAGAACAGAGAGAAGCTCTAACTCTCATTAAGGGGGAGCAGGGCGGGGGGTAGGAAGCAGGCTGAAATCTTGCCCACTGGTTCCTTCTCATCCACTCTGGAACCCCTGGTTTGAACACTACTGTTCCAGCCCCGGCCTGTTTTCAGCTTTCCTCTTGACTCTTTTGTTTTCTAGACTCTGAGGCCAGCTGTTATCACTCCAGCTGCAGAGGGGATGGGAGGCAACTTCCTGTTATTCTATCCTGCCATCCCTATGGGGGTGGGACAGTCCCTCCCCCATCTGCTGCCGGTTGTAGAATGTGAGCCTGGGTGCAGCCTTCCTATGACTGGGGCTGGATGAATGACTGACTGGTAGCCATCCGGCCACTGTTCCAAGGCATTTGGGGAGCAAAGCAGGTAACAGGCACTACTGACAAGTGTGTCCCTGACTGAGGGAGGGGAAGGATGAGTGGCTAAGAGGCAGGTTAAGGGGTTTGTGCAGAAAATAAGTTAAGGGTTGTTGCATGAATGATGGAAGAGTGGGAAAAGGGAAGGATTCTGGCCAATGTATGAGTGAGAGAGAGAGAGAGAGTGTGTGTGTGTGTTATGGTGAGATTATTTGGGTTCTGGGTGCATTCAGGAATGGAGGGGGGTCAGGGGTGATATGATGATCCATTTTTCTGTAGTCCTATATTTTTAGTGAACTGGGTATAAGGAATACAAAGAGGATTAAGCATGGAGCTTGCTTAATACTGTGGGAAGATAAGGAAATATATAAAACTGGACATATCTAACCATACGTTTGTACCTCTGGACAATCTCAATAACCCTTACAATTACCTTTGGTGTATTATCAGCCCCATTTTATAAAGGAGGTGATCGAGGTTTCTGATGTGGAAAGGTTTAGCTACTTGCCAGTTATACAGCAATTAAGTGCTAGAACTGGGCAATGGACCCCAAGCTCTTTTTCTGTCCACTATAGCACACAGGGAGGACTAGGTCTTAGTTAGGGTTTGAGAGAAGGGCAAGACTTAACACACTGAAGAACGGGGATTCCAGGTAGGCCAGAAGGTGAGAATCAAGCAGGGATCTGTGATAGACCAGTTTGACTATAGCAGAGGGTTTCCCGGGAGTGAAGTAGATTAAGGTGGGAAAGATAAATAGAGACCAGGTTAGGGAGGGTTTTAAATGGCTAGCTAAGAATTGTAGGGAAAGGGGACCTAATTTAGAGGGGAAGATGTCGATGGCCAAAAGCAAACAGTGTTTTAGAAAACTCATTTGGTGGTGATGCACAGAAAGACTTAGAGCTGGGGAAAAATGAAATGAGAAATAAGTTAGGACGTTGGCATAGCATAGGTCTGACACACAGCATAATGGTGATAATAGAAAGTAGATCTGTGAGAGCAGAGGCCTGGGTCTATGGATTTTTTTCAGCATTATAGTGTTTGAATGAGTGTCCATTGTGAGCAATCGCCACTGTAAAGAGAAAAAATGGTTGGGGGGGGGCGGGGGTCAAATGGATCTTGGTTTCAACCCCAGTTCTGGATGTTCTGGAGTAATTTACTTACATTATCTGGCTGAGCCTTTGATTCCTTATGTTAAAGTGGGGCTAATAACACTTTACGGGATGGTTGTGAGGATCAAGTGAGACACGGTGTTTGACTCTGTGCATCTGTCTATAATTTTTGGCAGACTGGTGAAATGTAGGAGATGTTGTCATCAATCAAAAAACAAACAATACAAACCAACAGAAGACCAATACTTAATTTATTGTACTTCCAGAAGATAATGGATAATATGCTATCTATAGCTCACATAAATAGAGTCACGGTTCACCATTCAGTTCTGTCTTATATCAGGTATTAGGCAAACGGAAAGAACCGTCTCCTGAGAATCATTCTGTTGTTAGCCAAGGGGATTATACAGCATGATATCCGTCAGGGGTAAATGTTAGTTAATTCTTAATTGATAGCTCAGCCACTGCAATTGGCTCCATTCAACAGTAATTATTCTCATGTGGCTTGTTGAACTCAATTGTGAGATTCTCCCCCTGCCCCCCGCTTTCAGGAGTGCAAGGAAAGCAACAGCTTTAAGGTACTTAAAAAGGTAAATAGTAATTTTTCTTACTTCGGAGATTCAATTTTATTTGCCCGGAAGCTCGTGGGGTGTGATTTTCACCGCTCAAAGCAAAAACAGCACATGGCTGATAACGCCACCAGTTAACAATTCAGAGCTGGGTCGCGGTTTCTAGGATTCTCTTCCCAACCTTTCCGGAGCTTTTGAAGTTCTAAATTCCCCATCTAAAGGAACACCCAGCAGCCCCAAGATAAAAGGGTAGAAGAGCGAGCTGGCGGTTTCCTTTATTTGCATGACTTAAAGCTAGCCACTTTCTGCTCCACGCGCCGCCGGACTCGTACTTGCCCGTGACACAGAGGCAATTGTTTCTCCTTAAAAAGGCGGCCGGGGTGGGTTAGTTTCGTTTCCGATCTGGGATGTAGTAAATGCACCAAGAGAAGTTCAAAACACGACCCGCAAGGTTCTTCCCCATACCATCACCTCCTTTTCTTAGAGATAACAGGAAAGGCAGCATTTTTTTCTTTTTCCACCGCCACCACCACCCACTCCCAGCCCTGGTCTCGCTCGGCGAGGAATGTATAGAATTAGTTGACTCCTCTGAGTGACGGCCCCCGGGCCCAATCAGCGGGCGCCCGGGCGCGGCCGACCCCACCCCCCTGCGAACTCTCTTTGGCTAATTCCCGCAGGGAGGGAGGAGAGAAGGCGAGTGGGAGGTGGGAGGGGGAGGTACCTGGAACTGGGAATGATGTCAGCTCCCAGCTCGGTGCCTGCCCGGATTCCTGACATGGTGTAGGGCCGAGAGGGTGGGGAAGGCGGGAGCCGGACGGGAAAGGGCTCGGGCTGAGAGCCTGCGGCGGGGCAGCCGTGTCGGGGCTTTGAACTCGGACGGAAGGTGAACCAGAACTTTTGGAAGTAGTGCCGGCGGCTCTCCACCCCCCAGGTAAGGGCGTTTGGCTGCTCTCAGAGACTAGAGGGAAGTGGCACCGTTGTGTGGTTGCAGCTGCTCCTCCTTTTCCCCGGCTCGATTTCCTTTCCAACTCACTCCTGTTTCCCAGGGGGAACGGGAACTTTTTTTGGGGGTGGTGTAGGGCTTAACTCCTGGGGCTCCCAACTAGCTTATATGTGAAAAGTACCTCCAGGATGGACATGTAAGGTATTGTCTGTGTCCTTAGACCCCCCACACCCTGGTCTCCCAGTAATACTTGAGAACCCCAATTAGAGAACTGTGTGTGTGTGTGAGTGTGCGTGTGTGTGTGTTGGGGGGCGGTATTTAAAGATGTCGCAAGTTTCGACTCAAAATTTATGCCCTTTGAGAGAGAACGAAAGGTTTGTATTTTTAGTTTCCCTGTGGCCTGTTACATGTTGATTTAAATGAAAGAATATCATTGTTATTCTTAATATTCTTATATATTAACGTAAAAAAGTCCTTTTATATGGTCCAGTCAGGATGTGAGAAATTCAGTTGGGGTATATTAATTATGAGCTGTGGGAAAACGCGTCTCTTGGGGGCACACTTCTAAAACTCCATCTCCTTTTCACTCTGACATTTTAACAGAATCCCTTTCATTGCCAACTTTGTGATCTGGAGAGGTTAGGAAAGCTGCTGAGAATCCTCAGATCTGTTCCCTGTGGCTGCTTGAGGAAAGGATGAGGGCTGGTAGTTGGGTTTTCCAGGATTATTTTTGGAGAAGAGAGTTTTCACAGGGAAATGGGGTGGAAGGCGTGGCATACGAACTCTTAATTATAGGAACATGGCTTTTTCAACATGTGGGACCAAAACAATCCTTCCTTTCAACAAGAAGTGCAAAGAGCAATAGAAGAAGAGCTTGATTTAGTGTCCAAGTTCGGAAGTTAGGAAAAGCAACTGGCTGTTGGGAGGAAAAGATATTTTGAGAAGTGGAGGTGTAGAATTCTGGTTTTTGTTTATTTCCTGTTTGAAACCCTTTTTCCTGTTTGGAGATCTTGTGTGCCCAGGTCACTAATTGGTGGTGATTGACTTTCTTGGGAAAAGAATTAACTCTATAAACTGATTCAGAACCCTCACAGTGTTTGAGGCTCTTTCTTTTGGAGAAGGAAAAAAACAAAACAAACACATGAGCTGAGACTTGGGAGTCAAGTTTCCCTTTTCATTCACCACTGTTCCTCAGCAGTGAAGATCCTTCTGTTGCCAGGTCAGGTGTGAACTTCATCATGAGGCAAAATCTGCATCCCAGGTGCCTTGAGTGAAAGGGCATCTCCAGGAGGTGAGGAAAGAAAGAAAAGCCACATTACATCTTATAAACCCATGGAGGGAAAAAGGGAACACAGGACTTCATAGACGGGGTTCTCCATCTTTCTAGCTGATGACAATCAGATTTCAGAGCTAGAAAGAAGTGTTTTGTTTTGTTGTTTATAAAACACCTGGGTCTGTATTATTCTTACTTCTTGAAAAAATTAGTAGAGTGGATAAGGAGCAGGCTTTTTGCAAAGGGAAGGTGTGTTTTACTGAAAAGGTCAGAACATTTTAATTTTGGTTTGTGTTTTAGGGCTAAGAAATAATTGCTTACTGGCTCTGAAATAGTGGTGAATGGGTCTTTTCTATTTATGTTCTGTGGGAAGTATATAAAACATACTGTATTTTCCAGTGTACGTTTTCAGTGGGAAAGAGAAGGTAATGTGAAATTCCTGTGGGCTAAAGTGAGCTCACTGGAGCCTTGGTTGATAGAGTGTTCAAACTGCAGTTTGTAATAACCAGTTAAGTAAAGAGCATTTTTATGATGTTGTCCTGATGTGCCAAATTCCAATTTATGCTTTCTTTCCGGGAAACTAGTCCTGGCTTAGGGACTTGAATATGCCAGTGTTTTAAATTTCATTCACAGTTTGAGTAATAACACTTATTTTATGTACTTAGCTTTAACCAATTTATTTCCCTTTATTTCCCTTTCTCTGTGTTTATAAGGCAGATAGGGCATAATAAAACAAAGTACTTTTAAAGGACAAAATTTGAAAGATATTTGAGTTATTGAGAAGTGTAGGATCAGGTTTTAGTTAAATTCTCTTTAACGAACAACTATCCTACTTCCGATAGCTACTTTAAAAAAATAGGATAATCTGGCCTTTGTGGGCAGATAGATGTTGACTTGAAATGCAGGGCACAGTGTAGTTCCAGATCAATAGTGCCTAATTTCAAGGACATCATAGACATTTTTTGGAAACAAGTTCAGTGAGGGAGAGCTTAACTGCTTATGTAGTCTTTTTGTCACTCACTGTACCAGCATGAGATAAATCCGAACAAGGTCACTTTTTCCCTGTTACTGACTAGCTGACTCCTTGTAAAAACGTGCCTTTCATATTCAGGAACTATTTGTATTTTTATAGTTAATTTCAATTACGTTGGTAATTTGTTACATTAAAATTAACTTTTTGAGTTTTTCATCTTCCATTTACAAAGGTTCCCAGGTGCGCCTGGGTGGCTTAGTTGGTTGAGGGTCTGACTCTTGGTTTCGGTTTACATCATAGTCTCAGGGTCCTGGGATCGAGCCCTGCATTGGGCTGCCCACTCAGTGGGGAATCTGCTTGGTATTCTCTCTCTCCCTCTCCCCCCGACCTGTGCTCGCTCTCTCAGAAAAGGTTCCCAAATCCCAAATAGCATATTGTTCAAACTCTTAACTGAAAGAAGACCTCATTCGTCTGATTCTGTCTTTTCAAAGATACTATTACATGTTTTTGACCTGATTTGAATTATCTTTTCAAAACAATGAGTGAAATAATGACTATTCATTCACATTTGGGTGTGTGTCTTGATTCTTTATTAAAGAAATACTGCTTCAAAGTGGAGACCTAGCCAAGAGATATTGCATAATGATGGCCTTTTTATTCCCAGAGATTTCCCTAGAAAGCCATATTAGTTCTGAAATTAAGAAAAAGAAAAAGTCACAGTTGAGCAGCCAATTGTGAAATATTTCAGGGAGCTGAAAATTATTATTTTTTACCCATGGTTGAACAGATGGGTGTAAGTATGAGATGCAAAGCTGTTAAGATCAGTGACACTGGGTGTTGTTTGGGGATAAATGGAACAAAGTATCTGTCTTCTGTTCCCTTCAACTAAAGGTTGATAATTTCACAGTTAAATCAGTCATCAAACTGTTCAAAAACTGCTCTGGGCTTGTGCAGTTGCTTCATCTGTGGTGTATTCCATTTTTTCCTCAAACTCCTCACCGTGCATGTCAGAACCTTTTTCCGAGTCAAAAAGCCGACAGCTTTTGTCATATATATTACAGCCACAAAGACTGATGCTTTATTAATTGGAGGTAATGGCTTAAAAAAAACTAAATTGAACCAGCCCACCCTACAAAAAATACAAAGACTCCTCTATTTCTTTTACGCGGTTTATTTTAAATCTAGTCATTATTGATCCCAGTTTGGCGTAAGTGGACAATGTTTCAAAAGGCCAAGTGGTGACTTTTGCTTCAATATTTTTTTCCATTTTGAAGGGTCTAAAATGCCAAACAACTGGATTTTAGATTAAAAAATGGGCTCTCCCAGGAGTTTCAAGTTTGCACCCTTGTTAAGCACTTTTGTGGGGGAGGGGAGGGTCTGAGTGAAATGTGTAGTGGTGGATACCCGTTAAAGAGCTTCTATTTCTGAAATGTGGCTTTGGACCCTGAGTGTGGTCCTGGTGGGTGTGGTGTCACAGTTTGTGACTGGACTTGGGTTTTGTGTCTCCCTAGAACTTGCTGTGACGCACATTTTGACTGGCCCCCATGCAAATCCTTGTTTTCGTTGGCAAGTGTAAATGAGTTCAGAATAGAAAGATCATTTGGTGGTTTCTGTCCAGGGGTGTACCTGACAATATCCATGACTGAAGGAATTGTACCAACTTGAATTGTACTCGATATCAGTCATTCTGGCAAATGCTCATGGCTTGACCATGAATCCTGGAGGAAGAAGATCAAGTACTGTAACACCTGGGGCTAGCTGTAGATTTTATGGACACCCCCTGAACTTCAGAGGAAGGCTAGGTATTTTCACATCCCTTTTAATTTAGGGAAATCAAGCATTTGACATAAAAACAGACGCAAGTTCAAGAGAGCAGGTGGGCTGATTCCTTGTGTGTGTGTGTGTGTGTGTGTGTGTGTGTTAACAAGGGCAAACTTAATTTTACCTGGTAGGAGAGAGTAAAGATGCTGTTTTCATTGGCAAGCCCATTCATAAATGAGTGGCCAAATTCTTTAGGCAAGCAAGGGAGTTCTTGGGAAGAAGTACGAGGCCCATTGGGAAGTGTATTCATTCTTTCATGCTATGCACGTAATACTCTACCATATCACTAAATATGCCTACGTTATCTTGTATCTCTGTATGTAGGATCTAGCTCACCGGATCTAGTCCTTTTTTGCTGGCTCTTTGTCACCTTTCTCTCTACAGTCCTTGCACAAATGTCGTCATCTTGCCACCACAGAGTTTTATGAGGTTTTTGTGAGGACAGTTTATGGAGTTTATTTGGGAGAAAGTGAAAACAAGGCTAGAACTCGATGGCCTACTTTCTTAATATTCTAACTTGTTGGTGTGGCTACCGTGGTTGCATAAGTCATGTTTCTGCGACCATTATCTGTGTCTAAAGATGCTGCTGCTTATAACAGCACATAGTAGAGAGTTTTATTTTGTTTGAATCAGAATTTGGACACTCTCCACTACTGATGAATGATAGAAGAGTCCAATGAGCCTATAAGGTCTCCTCTATATTAACTGGGAAGTGAAGTGAATGAGAGGAAGGGAAACAGTGGAGGACTCCGAGGGAACACTCCCGTTGAACCTGTGAGTTGGCCAGAATAATTTGTGTGAAGTCACCTGGCTCTCAGTGTTTTTCCTCTGGATCAGCTGCTATGGATGCGTTCACATTCTTCCAGCCCCCACCCCCATCAGTTTGTGACTTTGCACAACCAGAAAGCTTCTAAATAGGGA